ACTTTTTGGGGTGGTCTCATATCTAGGATGGCCTTTATTTTGTCCGGGTTGGCCTCAATACCGTGCCGGTTGACGATGTACCCTAGGAACTTACCCGAGGTGACACCGAAGACACACTTGTTTGGGTTTAATTTCATGCTAAATTGACGCAGAATTTRGAAGACAGAGTGCAAGTCTTGTATTAATTCATGCGAAAACTGTGTCTTGACGACCATGTCGTCTACCTAACATTCTATCTTCGTGCCAATTAAGGGCTAAAACAACTTATTCACGAGTCTTTGGAAGGTTGCCCTAGCATTTTTCAGTCTGAAGGGCATGACCTTGTAGCAGTACAGGCCGAACTCGGTTATGAAGGTGGTTTTTTCCTCATCAGATGGGTCCATCCGGATTTAGTTGTAGCCTGAGTAGGCATACAGGAAGCTTAGCAACTCATGTCTCGAGGTCGCATCCACTAGGCGGTCAATCCTAGGGAGGGGGAAGCAATCTTTCGAGCAAGCTCGGTTCAGGTCGGTGTAGTCGACGCACATGCGCCACTTGCCGTTTGCCTTTTTTACCAGAATTGGGTTGGCTACCCAGCTCGGGTAATGAACTTCCCTTATGAAGTCTGCTGCGAGGAGCTTCTCRACCTCCTCATYGACCGCCCTCCAGCGTTCTGGGGCTAAGTTGCGTTTCTTTTGTCTAACGGGTCTGACTACAGGGTCAGTATTGAGCTTGTGAGTTTTGAGCATAGGGTCTATGCTGGGCATTTCTGCCGCGGACCAAGCGAAAATATCTAAGTTAAGAAGTAAGAAGCGTACCAGTTCGGATCGCAGGGGTTCTTCAAGGGATGCTCCGACCTGAAGTAGTCTGGTGGGGTCCTCTGCCGAGACAGAAATGTGAACAGTTTCCTCTGTTGGTGCAGCTCGCTCCTCCTTCTGTTCCGTAGGTCGCTCCAGTTCGAGGTCGCTGGTTATCTTGGCCTTTCCCTTGAGGGCGACAACGTAGCACTTACGGGACTCGAGCTGGTCGCCCCGCACTACCCTGATGCCGAAGTTCGTTGGGAACTTCATGGCCAAATAGTAAGTGGACACCATAGCTTTTAAAGCGTGGGTGATCAGCCGACCTACTATGGCATTCTAAGGGGAGAGGGTCGTGACCACCAGAAAATCGTGACTGAGTCTTACCGTGCTAGGCCACGTGCCGAATTCCACAGGTACTGTGACCTTTCCCAGGGGTCTGACCTCTTCCCCGCTGAAGCCGACCAGCGGGGTGTTCGCGGGCTTTAAGTCACTCTTTTGGAACCGGAGCTTGTCGAAGGCCGCTTTAAAGAGGATGTCTGCCGAACTACCGGAGTCAATGAGTACCCGTCGAACTTCGAAGTCATTGATCTTCATCTTTATGACAAGTGCGTTGTCGTGGGGGTAGTGGACCCCGCACGCATCGTCTTTGGTGAAGAATATAGGGTTTTCCATCCTAGGTCGCTTTGGCGGATTTCGTTCTTCTCTGGCGGCTTCCTGGGTTGACGCGCGAGCTGCCGCCGAGGTGCACCCTACCACGATCGACCCTCCAACGATCACGTGGATCGTTCCCCGAACTGGTCTTTCCTCCGGGGGCTGCTTCTGTGGTTCCGTTGGCCGGCTGCTGGACTCG